GTGGGGTGGCGCAGGTGGCTGGAGGAGGAGGGCACAAGGCACTCTGTGTCCAGACCGGATCCACAACAGTCTCCTGGTCGTGGTACTGGATGACGGCTCTGCCAATCCCACCACGCGGGGCTGGGGGAGCAGGTACTGGAATCTCTCCGTATCATTCAGCAATTATTCCTCATGTCTGTGTGTGTCTGTGTCACACTGCAGTGATTTACATGTTACCTCAAAAGGAAAGGACTGATTTTTCCACATCAGTACTTTATAGAACATTCCCTCCTCTTCCGCTGGCCCGCGCCTGGAGAGCGAGGGGCGGTACAGGGAAAGAAGTAGATTGACATCACCATAAATCCACAATGTGGAAACACATGGGGATGTGCAGCCTCTGGTCACCAGCGCAATGTGCTGAGGCCTTGACCACCACAGCTCCCCAGAAGCAACACCCTGTGGAATGGGGGTGCAGGATGAAAAGGACTTGGGGTACAGCGTGGACACTGGACCTTGTATCTCCAGGGGCCCCTGAACTGTCCATGAGCTCACACCGACAGCAGCTGGAAGGACTCTCCCAATCCAGGGAACTGGATGGTGCTTTCATGAAATAAAGACCAGAACACAGACCTGGCCCAGAGTTTGTGACACGCTCATACATCTCCTCTGCTTCTGCCAAATCCTTTTCTTTGTGCCAGATGCACGATGTTTCCAGAAAAGGGAGGTGTGCCTTTGAAAAGTCCAGGCTTGTTGTCAATGACACATTCATCTTAAAAGGCAGGAGACAAGTTTCTCTGAAAATAACTGTCATCTGGCAGAGAGTCGACTGGGAGCTGGGCTGCTGACTCACGGGCTGCACCTCCCTGGTGGTCTGAGTCCTCCAGCACTCTGCGAGGGGCTGATGGGAGGCAGATGGGGGGCAGACGGGAGGCAGATGGGGGGGGGAAACGGGGGAAAGATGGGAGGCAGACAGGGGGCAGATAAGGGGCAGACAAGGGGCAGACAGGCAGTCTTTCCCCAGAGATTTACGGCCTCCAGGCCGTGCATCCATGTGTCTAGGCCATGCTTCCACGTCTCCAGGCTGTCTGTGTCCAGGCCCTGCGTCTGCATCTCTAGGCTGTGTGTCCGTGTCCCCAGGCCACACCTCCAGGTCTCCAGGCCGTGCGCCAGCATCTCAAGCCCCTCGCAAAGCCCCATCCAAGCTGAACCTCTGCCCTCACTGCACGCTCTTCACAGACTATTCCCACGTGGGATGTGGTAAGAGGCCTCTGATAGTCCAGGAGAAAGGTGGTACAAACCATAGATGTGCTGAATAGTATTTAAAAAACCCCAGAGAGATAAGCCTATAAGAACTTAAGATAAAAACATACTTAAAATGGAATAAAATACTCACAAAATATACTTTGAGGGGGCAGTATACTAAAATATACACAAGCAGCCAATGCAGCTCTTTCCGCTGTCAGATGACCTCACATTGGCACATCAGGACAGCAACCAGTCAGTCATGATTTTTCTTTCCTTCTTAAAATCGAGTAAGAACATTTTAGAGGGAAGGCTTCAATGACCCCACTTTCCTTAAAAAGGTCTCCTAAGAAACCTGAATAATACCCTTCTTTCCCCTTCTTAATAAGCTATTTCCCAGTTTTTCTTCCATTGCCCACCGTTAGTACACTCTTTACACACTCACAACCCTTGTCATCAAGTTGGGATCAGCCCACAGCTGACCCACTGCAGGTGTTCGAGGGCTCCCAGTCGCACGGGAGGCTTTCCATCCTCCTGTGGTGCAGCTGCTGCAGCAGAACTGTCAGAGATGCACTGTGCTGTCTTCGGGCTACACGAGGCCCCTCCAGCTGTGGCGGTGTTAGGCTAGCAGCACAGATGTCTACAGGCTACACGAGGCCCCTCCAGCTGACGGCCACTGTTGTTTGTTGTTATGTACCATCGAGTCGCTTGCAACTCATAGCGCTCCTATGTACAAGAGTTCTAAATGCCGTTCTACCCTGTGCCAACCTAGCCATCTCAAACGCACTCATTCCCACCACTCCACTCACAGAACCGATCCATCTCATCGAGGGTCTTCCTCTCCTGCGCCGTCCCTCCACTCTCCCAAACATGATGTCCCTCTCCAAGGACCTGTCCCTCCTTGCAGCATGCCCAGAGTATGTCAGATGAAGCGTCAGAATCCTTGACTCCAAGGAGCATTCCGGCTTCACCCTCTCCAGGACAAACCTGTTTGTTCTCCTAGCATTCCATGTTATATTCAACACTCTTCTCCAGCACCACAGCTCAAAGGCATCAATTCTCTTTCTATCATCCCTATTCACTGTCCAACTCTTCGATGCATGGCACATAATTGCAAAGACTATAGCCCGGATCAGGCGCACCTTAGTCTCCAGCCTGACATCGTTGCTCTTCAGTACTCTTGAGAGGTCCCTCACAGCTGACTTTCCCAATGCAATTCGTCTCTTGATTTCCTGGCTGCTGTTACCAAGAGTGTTGACTGTGGAACCAAGCAAACTAAAACTGATAACTATCTCAAATCTTTTCACCATCCATATTGATGCTGCCAGTTGGCCCAGTGGTGAGAATCTTTGTTTTCTTGATGCCATAGTATCTTATAAATGACATACTCAAGTGCTGAATACAGCTGAGAGTTCACGTGCATGCCAGTCCTGTGGCTGGGCCCCTTGGGGTCGCGTTTGTCCTGCGACAGGGAGCCCCTGCCCTCGGGGAGCCGTCCATGCCACACGGCAGGGCCTTAGAAAGCCTCTCCTGCAGCCAGTGCAGTCCTTTTCCCCAGCTCTGACTGTCCTGTCGTTGTCTGTCCTAATCCCCTCTGGAAAGACCCATCCCTGTGTCCCAACATCCCTGTCCATGCCCAAAGAGGGCTGAGTCTCTGGGTGGCCCTGAGGACCTGGCTGGGGAAGCTGATGGAATTTTCCACAGGGAACAGCGGGGCATGTGGGAGAGGTCCCACCCACAGACCCCATATGTGGTGGGAAGCAATCTTTTCGCTCACACTAGAGACGGAGCGATACTCCTGTGCTGAAGGCTGGGCAGTGACCTGGGCACAAGGACTCGGAGGGTGTTGCAGACTTACGTGCTCGTACAGCTTCTTCCGGAAGGCCACCCTGTGTGATGCCCGCTCGCACAGGAGCTGCAGCGCCCGCTCTGCCATGCCCACTACCCTCATGCAGTGGTGGATGCGCCCGGGGCCCAGGCGGCCCTGAGCGATTTCAAAGCCTCGTCCTTCACCTATGGGAGAGAGGAGGGCATGCATACACGACTGCTGATGCAAACCCCGGGGAAGTGCTGGCTGCCATGCTGCTCAGGCACTCTTCAGACACATTAGGAATTCTGACTTCCGGGGTTTGCAAATCACCGTGATTGCCATTTAGCTGGGACCAACATAGCTGGCCCTCCAGGGCTTGGGGTTAATCTTACAGGAGAAGACTGCTCCTCCTTTCCTGTGTAGCAGCTGCTGGATTCGAACTGCATGCCTTTGGGTTGGAGCCCCTTACCACTAGGCCAGCAGAGCTCCAGGTACCTTCTCTGCTCTGTACTAATATCACGAAGTTCTAGAGGGGATGTGGCACGGTGGTGAACTCCCCACCCCAGAATGAAGTCTGTAAACGGGGCAAGGAAGCTGGGGAGCAACCCCCAGAGGGGACAGGAAGGCAGAGTGGGAGGGACTGTCCTCCTACACAGCCGTGGAGGCTGGAGGGCGCAGGGGCCTGCCCAGCGGACCAGTGAGGGACATGAAATAGAGGAACCTAGATTGTTCTCTAAACTGTGGGCTGTTGTTGATTGCTGTCGAGTCGAGCATGACTCACAGTGACTCTATGAACGAAAGGCCTGAAGCCCATCTACAACTGCCGACGTTTATCCAAGTTCAGAGTTTCCAGAGCATGTTATTTAGGAAGTGGTAGGATTCATTTCAACAGGAGAGTCCCTCAGCCATACAAGGTCAGAGTTATCTTACACTTTGAGCTTGTATTCAGGACTCAAATTCACGAAGTAACGACACTGTTTTAAAACAAAATGAAGCCTGCTTTAGAGAGCACATTTTAGGGAAAAGTTTATTTCCCTGAATTTTTCAATCTTCTCAAGTGATGTGTGATATGAAACCATACCTCAAACTTTAAATAAAAAATATTAGTCTATGCTAGGGAATCCACAAGGCAGAATTCTTTTTCCATGATAAGGAGAAGTATCTAAAATAGGCTACATTGCTTCTTCAGATTCAAGCCTAAATATATTTTAATCCATAAATCTGAGGAGTCATTTTTCCCAACGTATCTTACCCAGTATTAAATTGGTGGCAGGGACTCGCACTTGATTGAAATGGATCTCAAAATGCCCTCCATGGATATAATCTACAACATAAAATTGTAAAAAGCAAAATATGTTGACAAAAGAATTAGCAACACATTCTTAATGTATGAAGTAAAATCCCTTGATGATAAGGTTTCCAGGCCAGTATCATGACTGTCCCAAGCAGAACCTGTGTTCTGAGCCCAGCCCAGCCCAGAGTGCTGGTCAGCCTCCAAGGGAAGGCATCTTAGATACTCTCTGTTCTAGAAGATTCTACAGCCTAGAAGGCTCATCAGCTTCTCTGAACAGAAGGGACTTCAGATATCCTCTGCTTAGAGGGAAGGGACCTTAGACGCGCTGTGCTCAGGAGGAAGCGACCTGCCCTCTAGTTCGGTATCCTCCCTCTAGACCGTCCAAACCTTTCTCTCAAAGTCTAGTGACAAAGAGGACTGGAAGCCATTGCTCCAACCAGAACATTTTACAATGGTTTCCTCAAGTCTTTTAAATGGAGATTTTCAATAAAATGTGATGTGGAACAAAAAAACGGTTCAAAATGTTTCAAAACTGGAAAGTGAGACAGGGATCCACGCTCCTCGCCTCATTGCGGGGACAGCGTGCCTGCGCATGGGCGGCCCTGGCTCTGCGGACGGGACGGTGCCCACGGTGGTGAAGCAGGACCAACCCTGCACACAGGTCTGCTCCCACCCCAGGCTCGTTCGCCTGCACGACTGCAGCTCAGAAATGCTGGTGCTGAATCCAGGGACCCCAGACACATCCACACAACCGTCTGCATCACAGCTTTCCTTGCCAAGTCCCTCCCGCTCATTCAGACCCAAAGGCCACAGCCACGGGACAGATGCACGCCAGCTGCCCTGCGTCAGTCCAGGGGTAAACCCTAGGGCAAGGCTGTCTGTCCTCCTCCTGGGGAAACACAGGCCCTTCCTCGGGCAGTCCAGGGGATGCCCCCTTCGGCTGAGGGCACAGGGCTGCTCATCAGTCCCTGGACAACCATGTGTCGGCTTGAGCCCACAACTCTGCACCCAACACGTGCCCACAGACAGGCCACTCCCTGAGCTTGACCACCCCCCGTGCCCCACACTCAGCCTGGTACCACCTCTGCTGCATACCAAGAAGGTGACCATATCGAAGGCCTAGAATGCAAGGCTGTCCCTCCCACAGGGCATTTCATCGGTCATATGGAACCATGGAGAACCAGGGTCATCACAGAACATGAAGTTCAACTCCTTCACCACGGCGTTTGCTCACATGTGGGGCTGCGGTCATGGCCTCGCTTCCCTGACCAGCATGGAGGCTCCGTGAAGGCAGGAGCTTGGTCTGTTCTGACTACTAATGGGTTTCAAATGTTGGAGACATGCTCTGCATGCAG